TAACATATGCTCGCCTCTTATGTCTTACAGGCGTTCGCTGCCTCTATCCATTCAACAGTCATGATCAAGGCCGAGCTGGATGGAAGGGAGGCCTTGGCAGCGAAGGAGAGGGAGAATTCCTCTGCTGCCCTGGAGGCTGCTACTACGCTCAAGGGGGAGCTGCTGAAGGCTCGGAGCGAGGTGGACATACTGAGGGCTGAGGTTGAAGCCAAAGCCGAGCTGCTGAAGAGGGAGGATGAAGGCACAAGGCCCACCTCCGAGCTGCCCACACTATTACTAAGGGGCTGGAGAAGGAGAAGTTCCAACTCCTTAAAGAGAAGGACGACCTGCTCCAGGCCTTTGAAGGGAAAGACGCTACAATTGGGCGTCTTACTGCCGAGTTGAAGGCGGAGAAGGAGCGCCTTTCCAATGGAGCTCTTCTTGAAGCAACCTTCAAGCAACACCCAGATTTTGACGGGTTTGCCAAGGACTTCAGCGACGCAGGCTTCAAATTCCTGATGAAGGGGATTGCTGCTGACATGCCACACCTCCAAGTCGACCTCGGCGATCTGAAGAAGAAGTACGCTGAGAAATGAGCTTCTGGGCCTAATGGCACCCCAGGTCATGCATCGCTGGTGGACAAATACGTTAGAGATCTGGACTCTGACTACTCCGACCTGGAGGAAGACGAGGTCTCAGGTCAGGAGCCTACTAAGGTCGGCACCACCCAAGAAGGAGTCCCTTCCCAACAGAACGAATCTCAGGAGGTCAACCTTCTAGGTTCTCAACGCGAGTTATCTTCTCACCTCGGGAGCGGCTGAGTCACTAGTTTAGTTAGTTTTTTTTTTGTAAGCCCTTAGTTTTTTGTAAGCCTTTGGGCTGGGCTACAAGGTACATAAGCCTTGGCTCTCCCCTTTTGATTAATGAAATTTCCAATTCTCCACTTCCATTTGTTCTTCTGCTACTTCTTCTTTTAGGCTTTTAACCTTGCTTTTGCAAGTTGGAATTTACAAATGAATAAATTCACCTCGCACCTTTAACTTAAAGGATCGCACCTCTAACTTAAGGTTTGAATTTGAGAGTTTCTTTTGTTAATCTTTAATATTTCTCCTCGAACTCAGAAGTCCGGAAGAACACTAAGCAATTGGAACTTCTACATCGCACCTTTAACTTTGTACGTTCAAAGGGTTGATTTTTGTGTCCATAGCTAATATTCACATCGCCCTCGAACCCGTAGGTTTAGAGGATTGAATTTCCCTAACCTTCAACATCGCACCTTTAACTTAAGCGTTCAAAGGATTGAATTTTGGTTCGTAATTGATTTTGACATCGCACCTCGAACCCGTGGGTTTTGAGGATCGAATTTGATCAACTTTAAGTCTTATGGGAGTCCGTGGCCCCCATTTAATTTCTAATCGAACTCGGAGTTATGAAATTAAATAACTCCCTTTATTGAAAGCTCCGCCCCTTGAAAATTTGTACAAGCCCATTTTGGGACGATTTCGACATTTCAGGGGTAATAGCGCTTCAAGTGCTCCGCGTTCCATGGATGCGCAAGCACTCTTTCTTCCAGGTCAGCCAACATATAAGTTCCAGGTCGGACTATGCCTTTGACTTCGAACGGTCCCTCCCAACTTGGGTCAAGGGTGCCAACATGACTCTGAATTTTTTTCAAAACCAAATGTCCGATTTGGAAGCTTCGAGGTCG